AGAGTGAGGGAGAGCCCACTCTTATCAAAACATCTACAATAAAGTCTGAAATTATTACGGAGTGTGCTGTCTTCTCTTTTAATCGTATGTCTGCAGAGGCGGACAGTAACTAAGTACATTTACTTGAGTACTGTACTTAAGTACACTTTTTGAATTCGGCGAGGAGAAGGGAATATCATCAATGAGTTAAGTGTAATTGACAACTATTTTGCGAAACCAGACTGGCGACATACATATGGCAAAGGTTTTAAGAGATGGAAATCTACTGATTGTTTTGGCATCTATAAAACTGTTAGGCTTTTATAATGAAGTTTGGGGAAAAGGAATGTTACCTACTGAATGGAACGAGTCAGTGATTATTCCTATTAGGAAGCCAGGAAAGGACCAATCAAATCCAAAAAATTATCGGCCAATAGCATTGACCTCACATATAGGTAAGATAATGGAAAGAATGATTACAGACAGAATAGCATTTTATTTGGAATGTAGTGGAATTCTATCACCTCATCAGAGTGGTTTCAGGAGAGGGAGAGGAACTATGGACCCCATTATATGTTTGGAAACAGACCTTAACATTGGTGCTACCCGCCATAAAACCGAAGAAGAAGAGGAAGAAGACCTTGATAAATGTAGCGGAGTACGATATTTGTATGTCTTGAATTGTATGTATTGACTTGTAAATATGGACGCTTTCTAAACTTGCTTCGTGAAGCTTCGAAAACTTTGCGAACCTTTAGTAAAAAAGTCCACGACACTTTTACGTTTTGTTCAACAACTGAACATACCTTCCCGAAGGGGCCACATCCATTCACTTCGTTACAATATGATGAGCCACATGGGACTTTCCCGTCACAAGAAGTACTGCACAAGAAGAGGTAGGCCTACTGTACATTGATGTGACATTGACTACAGAGGTACTGTACATTAATGTGAATTTAGATCAAAGTTAATTTTGAAATCAAAAGTATTAAAATAACGTGATCATGGTCGGTTTCTGCACATAAAAGATAGCAACAAGTTAATGATCTAATTCCTTTATTGTTATAGATGTAGTCATTGGAAAATTTCGGTGGACATATTATGCTGCTGCACATTTGTAGAGGTTAATAAAATGGTCTCCCAAACAGAAAGCAGAAAAAACTCCTGCAAGGATGGGTGCCATTTGCATTTATTTTTTAATTTATCTCAGACTGTGAGAAATAACATTGTTATAGGCCAGTTTTATAGTCTTTCAGCATATATGACTCGAATAATCTGTTACTACAACAAACACTTAGAATAAAGTCAGATCTCTGCTGATGATGCTGTACGGTTTGTTTCAGGTGTCTCACTAGTTATTGAAAGGCATTTTTATCATGTCAATAGTTCATGTTTTCACCTCATTGGTTATGCTGATATGTTTAAATCACCTGTAAACTGCTACTTAAAGCGCATTCATTGGTGTAAACAGCCACACCATCACCATAAATCTCTTAAGAGCATTTCATTATAGTTTGTGATAAAGCAGGTTTCAGGTTTCATTGAACTGAAGTGTTATATGTTGGTTACAAATCTACATTTATTTCTGATTTTTTTTTTTCTTTTGTTGTTCTTACTTTTTTCTTTTTTAATTTGGATTATTTTAATTGTGGTACTTATTCATAGTTTTTTCTAATATTAATTTGTCTATATGTCTGTATTAAAGATAAAGAATGTAAAAACAAAAACAAAAATCACAGACAAAACAGAAATACACAGAATATTAAAAAAAAAAAAAAATTCAGCGACTTTACATTTTGATAAATGGATATATACAAATAGTACATAAATGCTTCAAATGTGTGAATGAGTCAAAACATCTGTTTTATTTCGGATTTATTTTTTGATTTCTGCAGATCTGCACCTCCTTCCACAAGTACTGTACCTTCAGTGAAGCTCCTCCCACAGCAATTCACCAATAAAAGTTGGAATATTCCCATCAGTGAAGAAGAGTTTTCAGTGACAGGAGTGCTCCAGAACCCTACGAAATGAAACCTGAAGATACTGAAGAACATGGAGGTTGGTGTTTATTCTTTATTATTCATTTATAATGCTGAAGAACATTAAGGTAATAAAACTTAAAGAATCTTATCAGATTTAGTGGTTGTATTTTGTCCTACGAGCTGTAAAACAACAGCAGTAGCAAATAATATACTGACCACTTTCCATGAAATGGGTATGAAATCAGTATCTTTATTTATTTTATTTATTTAGTCATTTATCAGACGCTTTTATCCAAAAAATAAGCAATCAATTGTAGTATTAAAACAACTAAAAACAGATCCAAAACTAAAAGCTAAAACTTTATTAATACTACCTATACACATTTTAAAAATAAAGAGATTAAATAAAAATGACAAATGCATACAACTAAATTTCAAAACTTAACATTTAAATGAAAAACAAAAAATAAAGCTAAAAACAATTCAAAACATTAAAAAACAAAAGGTATAAGAGTATAATAACGATTCTAACATAACACTAAGCCAAACACCAAAAAAACATGTACAACCACACACACACATATATACATATATATATATATATATATATACACATTTATAAATCATACACTATCAAATTGAAATGTATAACTTCGTTATAAGTTTGTGTTTTCAACAAATAATTAGTGAAAGGAGATTTTAATATTATACAAACTGTTTATTTATTTTATATCTCAATCAGAAATTTCGCAACAGTGTTATTAAGATTTTGAACATGTGTAAAATACATTTTCCACCCTGACTGACATTGAAATTACACTAAATGTATCAAATAAATAAACCACATTTAGCAAGTTAAGCAAAAGCTGATTTATAGTTAAACTTGCAATTCTTATAAATTGTAAGAAGTTGTCTGTAGTTATAGAAGTTATTTTGTTTATTTTTGTGTTGGTGGTGCAGTCAGAGCTAAAGATGGATCAAGATTAGTTTCTTATCTTTCTGTAGAAAGGCTCCAAATGATGTCACTTCCTGATATGAGAGGTTGTGACAATTGTGAAAATTTTAAGAAAAGCTCTATTTTTTTAAATAAGTGTCACAACAGGGTTGAATGAGCAATGCTATTGCTAATACATTTTTCAGTTGAAAGTAGTTAATTATTTTTTTTAGATAAATAAAATAAAGTTATGCCACCATTGTATAGTTTTTTTTGTTAATATTAGATAATTGTGTAGTTTATCAAACATATTCAATAGCTCTCACTAGGGATGCACCGAATGTTCGGCAACCGAATAAGCGAAAAGACCGAATAAATTGTACCGAACAATGATGTGACGCGATCAAATAGCAACCAGCGCAGAGTGAGAGGCGCGCACTCTTTATAATGCAACAAACCTGTCAG